TGTGTGTGTGTGTGTGTGTGTAGATTGCTGTAAAAATGTGAGTTAGCAGAGATAGCCACTGAGGTTCCTTCTCCATCTTGGAGATTCTGTGATTTCACTTTTTTTTTTCCAGGGTGTCTGTGTATCTCTGGATGTCTGTTTTCTTGCATATATGTTTTTCTGCCTCTGAGTATTTTAATTCCTTACATTTCTGTGTGTGTGTGTGTGTGTGTGTGTGTGTGTGTGTGTGTTTTGTTTGTGTTTTTCTCTGGGTCTTTGTGTATCTGTGTATCGTCTGAGGGTTTGGAATACTTTCATTTATCTGAGAGTCTGTGTGAGTGGCTTTTGGGGAAGGGGGTGTGATGGATAACCCCCACCCAACTCTACCTACCCCCTCTCTCCAGAGACCGGGTGGGGAGCAGCCCCTGAGCCTCAGAAACATTGACACCGCCCCTGGCCCAAGCTGGTGACATCAGCGCCAGATGTTGCAGAGCCTGTTTGGAGGTCCAGCCCAGCTGCAGGCCAAGCAGGGAGCACCAAATGCCTGGGTTTCTCTGCTGTCCCCAAGTCCCCAGCAGGCCTGAGGTTGGAACGTGAAGGGGGTTGGGAAGGACTCCTCTCTTTTCTCTCCTTCCCCATCCCATCCCCGAGACAGAAAAACAACAGAAGCGCACACCAACACACACCCTCACATACAACACAGACACACCCTCATGTCTACACTGGGGCTCAATTCCCAAGCACTTCAGGACACACTCTCCAAGATACCCACCCACAGAGTCAAGAACTACTCCTTACCAACCACAGCCACACAGGCCCACAGACAGATTGACCAAGAGCAGGCAGGGCAGCGGACCTGGGGTCAAACCCTTCTCTGCCACCTACCTGCTGGCCTTTACCCGAGTTACCCAACTTCTCTGAGATCTTCTTCCCTGTAAAAGGAAGAGGCTGGACTAAAGGACCCTAAAATCTTTCCTGTCCCTAAGTCATCGATCCTGTGACCAATTCCAGACAATCACAGACACATGAGGACACACAGACAGACATGTGAAAACACACACACCCTCACACAAACACAACTCAGACATCTACAGCCACCCACAGATAGACAAATATAGATACGCACTTCCCCCTTCTGACGATTGGGCCATGCCCTTTGAATTTCCCAAGGAAGGGGGAGAGGGAGGGGCTCCAAGAGGCCTCGGGGGTTGGGGGCCAGTGCCTGGCCCTGGGGAGTGTGTGAAGGGCCAAAGTAGCCTCGGTGTGTGCCTGTGCCTAAGAGTCATGGGGGAGGGGGCAGGATAGTTTTTATGGGAAGACTGACACAGACAGGGAGAGACAGACAGGGGACCTGAATACTGGGAGTGGGGGAAAGAGAAATCTGGACTTAAGGAATGGGCCAGGCCCTTCTGTGGAGTCATGAGTGAGGAAGAACTGTGAGGAGAAGGCTTATAAAACAGGAAAAGAGGTCAGCTAGTCCAGGGATCTTACAGATAAGGAGACTCTAGCCCCAGAAGTCAAGTGACTTGCTCAAGGCCATACCCAGCTAGGATCAAACTTGGGCCCCCTGATTCTGGGGCCGGCTCTTCCCAATGAACAGCACCACATCCTTCCCAAGTTATCAGGCTCCAGATCTCCAGATACCTCCCTAGGCAGGCTTGGACACAGAGACGGACAGAGACGGAGGTGAAGGACAGGGAGAGGCACCAACATCCCTCCCTCCCCTCTGCAGCCCTTCCCCACCTAGAAACAACAGAAGTGGGAGACCCCACTGCGTCTTTCCTCTCTCCCCTCTCTGGAGCTTCCCTATCTCTTACTAGCCATGTGACCTTGGGCCAGCTCCTGTCTCTGCCTAGGACTCAGTTTCTTCTTCTGTAGGACACAGAAGGACTTGAGGGTTTATATAGTTAGTATGTTGCTCTGATATTCTATGGTGCTGTGGCTGTGAATGTTCCTGCTCCTTTAAGAAGGGGGCCAGGCAGCCCCCTCCCCTCTCCTTAACCCTTTGGGGTCCAGGGCTCTTCCCCCTCTCCAAGGAGAGGGAGGAGGGCGGGGTAGGAGGCGGGAAGAGGGGAAGGAGGAGGAGGCCCAGGCAGGCGGAGGGGGCCCAGGGGCGGGGACAGCCGGGGTGCTGAGATTGAGGGAGAGGGAGGAGAGAAAGTTTGTCCGGGAGGAGTTTGGGCTGGCCAGTCCAGTTGAGGGCTGAGATCCAGAGACAGAAGGCAGGCAGCAGAGGGTGGGTGGTGGGCAGCGAGTGGTGGGCACCGTCTGAAGGGCCAAGACATCGAGACAAGGCCATAGCCGGGGGGAGGGGGAGAACCCAGGCCCTGCCCCCCTCCCCCCTTCCCCGGCCAGACTGAGGCCGGAGCCAAGGG